AAGGCGGCGCACCCCTCTTGGTTCTCGCGACTTTCGCCGGAGTGGTCGCCGGCTGAGGCGCGCGGCAGAAGAGGGGATTGGATTGGGGGGAGAGGGGGTGGGAGGATGGCGAGCCTGCCTGTGCATCATCAGGAAAATATCAGGGAAACTGCGGGAAAGTCTTGGGGTACGAAAAGAAGTGGAGATGAGGAGATGAACTGCAGAGAGTTTGCATCAAGGAACCCTAAAGAAATAGAGCTTTTTTCCTTTTCCCCCTTCTCCTGTCTCAGAGAGCGCTAGAGAATATTTGACTATGATTTCTTCTTACCAGATTGAAGGTGTTTGGAGACATACTTCAGGATCCAAGCCTAATAAGCAAGCTAAGTGGGAGCGACATATTCATGTCATTGGCTTTAGGTGCAGATCTGAAATCTGAAGATGCCAAACCTTGGCCGGCTGACCAACTATGCTCAATGAGCTGAGAGATCCCTTTGGGTACCTCTGGGGATATATATATTCTCATATTCCCATATATGCATAGACACACAGTGCGCGTTTCACGACAGTGTTTCAGACTGAAGTAAATGCATGCAATCATCTTAAACAGGAAAGCATTTTTGTTGCCCCACGCCCCACAACTCACACACCAACACACATAGACAGTACCCCTTAATGATAACTAATGAGTGGTTAGGGTACACCATTTGATCCTTACACCTTTGGGGATCAGCAGGTCCTGGCCAAGAAACGTGGGTTCTGGATAATTTCCACAGAAATCAGAAAAGAACTTCCGAGAGGCTCTAACCCTGGATCTATTTGGAGCTTTAATAGCTTGCCTTTTCCTATCCATAGATAAGTATTGAAAAAAATATTCACTAACTCAAGGTTGGAGAGTTCTGGTTATAAGTCCTGATTCTGACTCACTTCTCTTGTATCTGTTCATCCAGAGTCACTGTATTTATTTATCTGTAAAATAGCAAGACCCCGGCTTAGAAGAAAAAGGAAAAAGTTCTGGTGCAAGCACACTCAGGGGGGAAAAAAAGGATCGTCTGCAGATAAAGGGCATTCAGTAAAAAAAAAAAAAAAAAAAAAAAGCATTGTCTTTGCTTTAGCAAAATAGGGTCCCTCTATTTAAAAGTACTTATGATCTATAAGTTATGAATTCAATGCTAATACCTCAGTATCTATCAGTATCTAAGTCCAAACAAAGTAGGAATTTATACAATTGCAGAATAGTTCTTAACAGTCTTTCTACAAGGCCCAGAAGGGGAAAGTAACTTTAAAAAGAAATGTAATTCATTGAATGAGATGATTATTTTATTAGAGTTTCAAACTGGTGGATTATTATAATTTAGTTGGCTAAGAATCTAAGCCATCCAGGATGAAAAATTGGGAAAGATGGCAAAATTCCTCATCATTTATCAAGCCTGAAACATGGAATAAACATGTCATTAACATATACAAAGATGTAATTATTTTTTAAGTTAAGCATCTCTAAGTGTATAGTTCATACTCAAATTGCAGTGGTAGAAAAAAAAAAACAGATTACAGATGGATTTTTTTTAGTCACTACTCTTCTAAGCTTCTTTTCTACAAAAAGAGGTGATTTTGTTCCATTTTTTGAGTCATAAATGTGGAAATAGTATCTGAAGTACTACCCTTAGATTTAAATTTGTAAAATACCAACCAGCCAATGGCTATGAACCTGATCTGTGTACAAATAACTGGCAAAGCCTTAGCGTTCAGTTTTAATCCCAAAGAAACAGTGAAACATCTTCTCTGCATTTGAGTGTTCTAACATGATTGTACTGAGCCATTTCTTTGTTCCTACAAACAAACATCATGAGAAAAATATTTATTGTTTTTTTCAGGGCAAAACACCATGTGTTAAATCAAAAAGATGAAGCTAACTTAAGCCAGCATATAAGTCATAATATGGATAATGTCGAACAAATGTATTAATTAAATGACTGCCTTTATGTTCACGCAAATGGTTAAGTATGTGGGAAATAACGGCAGCAGGTCGGGACTGGGTGGGAGCCAAGTTTTCAAAATAATACTCAAGGTCAAAGTGGATTCCTGGAGGTACTAGAATTAAGGCAGAGAAAGGCTTAGAGAAAATTTAGCAAGAAGAAATTGCAGGATAAAAGTGATATTAAATCAACAAGAAGTGGGGAATGAGCTGAGGGATAGAAAAGTGAGGGGGCAAGCAGTTGAGGTCACTGAGACCAGCCTGTTGAAATATCCTATGACATTTCTAGGCCTAGAGGAAGGTTGAGAAGGATCCCCTGCAAGAGGAGACCACTGCAGTACCTGTGGGTGAAGGAAACAGAATTGGACCCATCTGCCTGTCTCACTGTCCGTGAGTTTGAACACAGGAGGCCTATACAGATCTTTCCCTTTACATTCATGGGTAAAGTGCACTTGGGACTCAGGAAAAGGCTCTGAGGCATTTAAGGTTCTTAATCTGTGTGTTCCGGTGAGGTAGCCACTTGCCACATGTGGCTGTTTAATGCTTGAAATGTGATACGTCTGATTTGAGATGTGCTGTAAGTTTAAAATGCACACTGGGTTTTGAAAACGTCATATAAAAAAATGTAAAATATCTCCATGACTTTTAAATTCATTACATATTGAGTTGTTTATAGTTTGGATACTTTGGGTTAAATAAAATATGTTAATAAAATGAATTTTACCTGTTTCGTTTTTACTTCTTAGACTATGACTGTTAGAAAATTTCTACTGACTTATGCAGTTTACATATTTCTGTTGGCCAGTGCTGTTCTAGAACCTGTAACTGCTCCTTCGATTTGAGGTCACTTTTGTGCCGAAGGCACCAGAACCACAGAATGCTAGACCTGGAGGGGACTTTAGAGCTTATCTAGGCCAGTGGTTTTCAAACTGTGTTAGGATGAGCCAGAGGGAGAAGGGATGTAATGCAAGTGGGGATGAGTGAATCCAGGCAGCAGTGAGCTGGTGGGGCTCTGAGGCCACGTCCCACCCCGCCACTCCTCCACACTTGAGATGTATATATTATTCCTGAAACTCCAAAGTAAGGTTTCATTTGAAGGAAAGATTCTGGTACTTTTATGTGTTCTATTTTTTTTTTTTTTTTTAATCCTGGTCCACTGTTTTACCATGAAGCCAATCTGAGACCCAGAGAATGGAGAGGGCATGGCCCAACACCATGCTTGACCTCAGGACTTGACCTCAGCCCTCATTTCAAAGTCCAGCCTGACAGTAGAGTTGGTGACTGACCAGTTGGCTTGGGGGAGTTAAGAAGCTCTCTGTCTCAACTGCATTGAGAAATCCCCTTTCCAGGCAGTTAGTTTTTCCTCCCCTTCCACTCACCCGCCATTTGTGACCTCACAAATGCCTACTGCTCTTTGTCAAGAAAATTCTGGCTAAACCCAAGTGTGTGGATCATTGACACCAACTTATTTCCTTGGGAGAATAACAAACAAAAACTAACTCACTGGCCCTTGGTTTCTGGCAACGCATTGCTCTGCAGTGGATGGCCTATTATTTTTATGTGTTACTACATCAAAGACTTAACATTTTCCCCTTTGCCAAACTGAGCAATCATTTTCTCACTAGGAAATGCCATCAGATCCAGAGTCTCCCAGCCCCAGGAGGCTGTGTCGGATTGTGTTGTGTGTTGTGGGATGCAAAGATAGAAGATAAACACGCATCCTTAGCATTCCTAAACCCCCTTAGGACTTGTTGCAGGTCTAACATGAAGGAATTGATCTAACCTTCTCAGCATCTCCTAACAAGTTAA